ATGGCCTCCCTAGGGCCCAATGTGATTTTGTAATACAGACCATGCATTGAGAGCCATAGGTGTCCACACTATACTGTATGTTGCCTATGCTTATTTGACATCTTTCAAGTCATACAGCAACAGTGATTCAATAACCACCTGAATACATTTCCGTAATAGGGGTTTAGTTGTGTGTTGCTAAACACAAAGAGATGGCAGCCATTGCCTTCTGAAGGTGGTAGTTGCTTGGTCATGGTGACCATTTGGCTTACAAGACAGTGTGGAGTCATTGGCCCAGAACATGTATGTACATATGGACTTTGATTGTCCTGAATCTGCATGCTTGTTGGGGTTCAGTGATTTAAGAAATCCTAAAACCTCTGGATTAGCATACATGGGGGACAACTAGCATTTCTGGAAACAGTCAGCAGTGGAAGCCTTCTGAGTCACTTCCTGTCCTAGGGTGACAATGCTGCTCCTCCATAGATACAGTATGGTGAGCAGTGTTGTCATCCTAGGACAGGAAGTGTGCTACTGGCAGGATCAACAGGTGAAAATATAGAAAAAAGGTTAAAAAAAACCAAAAGAAATGCAGCCGCCACACCTAGGGACTGGTAAACTGCATTATAGTTACATCCATGTTCTTCGGTTTACCATTATCCTATAATCTGTTAGTTTTTGTTTCTGCTTTAGGTATTTTGTGGTTGTTAAGTACATTTTATACTGAGAGGCATGTTTATGCAGTTACATGTGTCTAGGAATGCAAACAAAACACTGTCAGTCAAGTATCCACTTTGTAGTACCTGCCTTTTATCTCCTCACATTCTGTATCCTGTTTGGTCCTGTTATTGTCTCTTCAGATACTACTTATTATTGTGAGGGTACACCACACGTAGTAGACCTGCCCGCCATCATTTTATCTCTGCCTGTTCCTGACCAGTGTATAGGAATGATCTGATCCCAGTATATGTGTGGAGCTCTGTCTCTGCCTTCCTATTTGCTTTATATAGATTAAGATAACCAGCTGATTGTTTTGCCTTTGAATTTCACTGATGTCCATCAGTAGGTGAGATGGAGTGGTAGTCCAACTATGGCCCGTGGCGCTGAAGAAGCTCTTGATTCCCCCATCCACGCTAACTGTGTGGATAGTAGAATCCCCCCACCGGTCTGACAGTGGTTGTACCAATGTCAGAATACCTAAAATTTTTCAGACCAGCTCCTTCGATAAAAGTCAATCCAAAAATGTTGTCCAAGTCAGCCAAAATTTGACCAGTGCATGGCCAGCTTAATCCTGAGGCAGCCCCAACAGCAGCAGAAATATTAATATTAAGTAGTGGTCAACCTCACATGATTGCATTATACGCCAATCATGTGGGATTGAGTTCTACAAGATGCTACTACACACTATATGGTGCAGCTTAGTCCATAGGGAACCCATTTGTTCGATCTGGTTTGTGATCATCTGCTACTCCTAGTGGGTTGGTAGCTGTAGACTAATGGGGTGACTATCAGCAATTGGTTAGATCTTTTAGTGGTAAGAGATTCAGTATGTCCCTGATTAAATGAGATGATTCTAGACGCTCCATAAGATGTGGAAGATGCTGGTTTATTTAATAATGCAATTGATTGTTATATCATTGTAGATTCCATCCTTAACATTGTCTGAAGAAGTAGACTAAGAGCTATGAAACGCGTTACGAGTGAGTTTTTATCCTTGGTTGACTGGTACAAATCGGTTAGATTTTGGCATATAAATGGCCTTTAATTAGGGTATGCTGAATAGATCTTGTGAGACTAATATGGAGGCATGGAGATTAATGTATGGCAACGTTCAAGGGTTGTGGTGTCATTACACCCTGAACTAGTGACTCATATATATGTGTGTGTATAATAATATAAATAAATATATAATATATCTATATATACACACACATGTATATGGCCACTGCCTGGCTGCTATGGCATTTTCCATCAAAGTGCTACATAATGCACATATACTCATAACAGCCATGAAACATCATGGAATTGCCATGCAGTACCTCCAGTTAGAAAGTTGATTGGTTTTCTTGATATATGAAGTGAGATGAAATAAAAAAACAGTTAATATAACTCCTACTGTTTTGGGAATTGATCTCTGTCTGGCACAGTCATTTTCTACCAGTGGGGCAGTGGGGGATGCATGGAGATGGCCATTGACGACCTCTGCTGTTGAAAATGCTAGTTCCCTGGCTGTTGCGCTGACCTTCCGGTTAAGTCACCGGCCTAGAAAAAGTGTGCAGATAAGGACTACTGGAGCAACATGGGATTGTTCAGCATTTATTAGGGATCGGAAAGTGAATTTATGTTGTTTTCAGGGACTAACTGGGAGAACCTGCAATCAATCGCAGACAATTTTTGGTAATCACCCAAAAAAAATCTCCTGCTAGGGTCTTAGTGGTTGACTTAAAATGTCAAATTTGTAGCTTTAAGCCCGCCAAAGAGGGACCATTTGTAGCGTTATTTATTAACATGATTTTTGCTGACCTATACACTGTGCTTCTGAAAGCCGACTTCTGGTTGGCTGCTTTAGGTAAATGGACCCATCTTTGGTCACAATATATCAAGTATCGAATATAGATTTATTCCTGAAAGATTATAATTTGATGGAACATTTTAAATGAATGGCAATTAAGGTTGAGCAATTGCAACATTCTAGTTTTTTTTAGAAACTACAATTACCAGCCAGGGATGGAGATATAGTTGGTGCGTCTTGTGCCAATGCAAAGGGGCCACAAAGAGCATGAGGTGTCATCAGGGAAACCAGGGAAAAGTTGAGGGGGACAGTTTATTCAAAAAGCCATACTTGGTCTGTTGGTACAGAAAGTGCCCCAACCAGAATTGGTCCTGCCATGTCCGGCATATGCCTAGGAAGATAATGGTAGCAAAACATGGCAGAGAACAGAAGTATCATTGAAAGCCATTCCAGGCAAGAGTTGGCATCCTTTAAAGAAGGTAGGCACATTTAAAGCTTTTGAAGGAAGATCCAGTTTTTGCCATCTATGTCCACCACTGCCCCAAGCATGCCTTCATACATTATAACTGACATTAAATCCTAGGACTTCAGCATTAGCCAATGGGACAAAGTTTGGTCAACTTGCTTGTACAAAGACTGTCTGGGGTATACCAAACGCAAATGCAACATGTACTCTATACACTAAAAAACTAAAAATAAATACACTATAAAAAACAGCCAAGATATATGCAGACGCCATACCTTCACCCAACAACAATCATCCTGACGTATCTGCCAAAGATGTAAGGTAACTACAGAAAAAGTGAGCACCGGCCAATAGATTTCCCACCAACCACCAAATGTCTACACAGAGCACCATGCCACGAGCCACCACTACAGCCTACTCTATTGTGATCAGGAGGTCAACCACTTTATCACATTTGTCAAGCAATTGTCTGTGACAACTGCAACATTGCAAGCTTAGAATAAGGGACCAATGATATAGTGATGTTGTTCAAGTGTTGTTTACTATCTAGAGCCTTAACCTTTTCTCGACCAGGGTTTTATGGAACTTTTGGGTTCCTCTAGAGTTTGCTAAGGGTTGTTTGAGCAGTGATCAATTGACCTCCCGCCTGATGGTGTCTAAATAGTTCTGGCACTGATGTCACTGCACAGAGCCAGTTGTGTGGGACCATTGGAGCCTTTCCAATCTTATTTTATCCCCTGACATCAATAACTTTTTAGCTGTCTGTAAGAGTGACCAGCAGTGCAAGAAGGTGTTGTTCCCAATGACCACCAATGTAAAGGGGCATTCTTCCCACTGGCCACCAGTGTAAAGGGCATTCTTCCTGCTGACCACTGGTACAAGGGGCATTCTTCCTACGGACCACTGGTACAAGGGGCATTCTTCCTACGGACCACTGGTATAAGGGGCATTCTTCCTACTGACCACTGGTATAAGGGGCATTCTTCCTACTGACCACTTGTATAAGGGGTATTCTTCCTACTGACCAATGGTATAAGGGGCATTCTTCCTACTGACCAACACTGTAAGGGGCATTCTTCCTGCCGACCACCAGCATAAGGGGCATTCTTCCTGCTGACCTCAGGTATAAGGGGCATTCTTCCCACTGACCACTAGTATAAGGGGCATTCCTCCTACTGATCATTGGTATATGGAGCATTCTTCCCACTGATTACTAGTGTGAGGAGCTCTTCGCTGGCCTCTTATTGGAGCTCTTCACTGGTCCCATTTTGACTGACCATAAGGGGCTCTCCTATTACCTACCTACTACCAGGGTAAAGAGATGCTACAATCTTTACTCTCTGCATTTCTTTTTTACCTATTTCTTTAAAGTAGGCTAGGTACATCAGATCTTTATAATTTTATCTAATGCTATATTGACAATTTGCTGATTCCACTAATGTACTGTAAACTGTAGATGTAATTTATTAGCAGGGGTCCTTTAAGACTTGAAAATTATTTCAAGGGTACCTCCAGGCTAAAAAGGTTGAGAAAGGCTTCTGGCTAGGTAGCTTACATTGAAGGAGAGACCCTAGAAGGCAAGCTGAGAGATACAAAGAGACAGTCAGATTAAGGCAGAGACAGACATCTTAGCCATAGGTAGATCTGGTCAGACAGCTTGGATATGCGCAGACAGCGATGTAGCTTAGATGTACAGTAGATAGACAGACGGCTTGGGTAGACGCAGACAGGTAAACAGGAGCTGGGGATTAGCGAAGAGACAGGAAGGGAGGGACATCACACAAAATCTTCTACTACAGGTATAAATTCTCTCAGATTAAAGTTACAGACAAACAGGCAGACAGGTCTCGCTAAGCCCGTTCATGAGGTGTCAGGCTAATACAGGGATGGACCCTAAAAGTATCATAAAAATGTCAGATGAAGTGACTGCAGGGGACCAGCCCAGGAAACTGAGTTAAAGTTGCACAATAAATTCCACTGCAAGTAGCTGAACGATGATTTTACAGAATTTAACCGTGCCAAGAAAATGAAAACCATAAATAACAAAGAACATATAAAAATAATAATAATTTGCAAATATATTCTCTTTGGATTAAAACGTTGGGTGGTTAACCTACATTTTCCACATTAGCAACATATCAATTAAAATGATTTTAATACTTTTTATTTATTAATAATCATTTTAATACTAAGCTATCTTGAATCTAAGTGATCCTTCTAATATATATATGGTTAGACGCCATCAACATTTCATTCCTAAAGTGGCCACTAAATATGTGAAATTGATGTGAACCTCTATATATCTATCTATCTATAGATATATAGAGGTTCACATCAATTTCACATATTTAGTGGCCACTTTAGAAATGAAAAGGTGATGGCGTCTAACCATTAAATGAACTGGAGCTGTCAAACTGCATCTTAATTCCTGCAACTGGTGTGAAATTGCCACCCGAAAACTCCTCTTTTTGGTTTATTCAGTGTGACACTTTCATGTGCAATGTGCAGTAACCCATAGTGACCAATCAATTGTCTTCTCTTGTGTCTGTTTAGATTGGATTCAATGCTATGTTTTATTGCACTATGCCCTGTCTGATGTGGCTTAATTGTGAAGAATAGGATTATAGTACATTTACTATATACTATATTGTCCTATACAGCACCATATGAAACTATACTATGCTATAATAACACTGACTTCCACAAAAATATTATGTTCTCATTGTCGGGGAGATGTAAATTATACAAAAATAAAAATTTGGTAAATTTAGTAAACTTTTTATGATGGGTTGGTCATCCAAAGCATATACTAAATAATAGAATAGTTCTATAGGGGATCATTTGTTTTTCTTCTTGTACCCTATACAGTCCTATAACATCTCCCGCAACCATGTTCTTGTTCCTCTTAATCTAATGCCCCTTTTTGACCTACCATCTACTATTTGTCCATTTATTGCCTACCGTCTGTTTACATCTTGATTTTTTTTTTACACTTTTGTTTTCAACTGTCTTCTTTTTGCCCCTGTTTTCCACTAGTCATCATTTCCTTGACCCTTTTCTCCAAGCTTACTTTACATTTGTGTCTTTCTTCTTGGTACCCACTCACTGTCTGGTTTTGCTACGTTGTGCACACATCTCGGAGATCTTAAATCCCAATATAATCACAATATAAGTTCTATTCCATTTCCAAATTCTTCCTCTCCCCTCCCACTTATTAGCTTTTATCTTCCCCTTCTGTTGTAAGCTTGACCATTCTACTGGCTTACCATTTTGTCCATCCTGCTCATCATCTCCTGTCCTTCAACACTTGTCTTTTAGATAATATCTACAGAATCTTCCTATATTGATTATTCTCTTTTGTTTTATTGTTTTAAGATTTATGTGTCTATCGGGTAACACTTTTTCGTGCACACACCAGCCTTATTTTCATTTCCATACCTGGTTCCTGAGCTGGAGCCTCTCGGAAATGTCCATAAGTTCGGTATCCACCTCCGTACTGATAATCATCCTTGGGCATGAAGCCATCTGCCCCCATTAGACCCAAATTGAATTGTGGGTGATGGTGGTAGCTGTAGGGATTTAGCGACTGAGAATATGCCTGACTCTGGTAGTAGTCATGTTGGCCACCTGCTAAATGACCGCTGTAGTAGCCCATGTCCGTGGCGGTTGACTCTGGCAGGGTGGGCGAGTCCTTGGACACAGAATGGCAACTCATAGAGGTGCTGAGGTCGGTTAATACGGCCATCTTCTTTTCATAGGTCCCACTCATGTTACGAAGAGCAAAGGCGATATCCCAGTAGACATTCACACTAACATCCCTGCAGAGCTCTCTTGCACTTCTGCCTGTACAATAAAGCCAAACCAAAGCTTCACAGACCAGTTCTGCTCCATAATTATAGGGTAGAAAAGGGAGGGTCCCGCATTCCTATTGGCTCCAGGAGGAAAGCCTTCCAGGCAAAACAGATTTCTTCACCAGCTCTATATTTATGTCTCAGCTTCTTGTCAGTACAAAAAGAGAAGAAAAAAAACACACACACTCACAAACATATATACAGTATACTTGAGTGCATGCAACTGTATATTTATATAAAGAAATGCAACAGTATATTTATATTTAAAAATGTCAACATATACATTAGCTACATCTACAAAAAAAAAGAATGAACAGCAACATTGTGCAGGAAACAAAACTGTAAGTTGTGTGATTTTGAATGGTATAAAAAAAAAAGAGACCCTGTATACAAGTTGGTAGATTTTATGTGCTAAACTGTTTATTTGCTTTTTCAATAATATAATTTAATTCTATTATATATTATGTATTATACGCAGGTTTTTTTTTTTTTTTATACTGTAGGCTTTGCAATCGTGTTTTATACTTTACACTATATTTACACTTTTTATGTTTTTACCAAGCAGGTTTTAAACACTTTAAATTACCTTTTTGTTTTACATTTTACTATTTATAAAATATAGCCAAAGGTATGATTGAGTTTGCTCCACTGTGAACCCAAAAAGATAGGGAACTAAAAATAATGATAGATTCTTCCAAAAAATAAATATACACAGTCTGTGTGTGTGTATTATATTACATATACTAGAAAATATAATAATATTATTTATACACATATGTTATATTATTGTATTA